TATGAATGTTTTTCAATCCCCCTTTTTTTTTTTTTTTTTTTTTGCGGTACGCAGGCCTCTCACTGTTGTGGCCTCTCCCATTGCTTTGCGCAGGCTCAGCAGCCATGGCTCACGGGCCCAGCCGCTCCGCGGCATGTGGGATCCTCCCGGACCGGGACACGAACCCGTGTCCCCCGCATCGGCAGGCGGACTCTCAACCACTGCGCCACCAGGGAAGCCCATATACCACTTCTTAATACTACTTCTCAATTAACTGTGCATTAGTATAAAGCACAGTTTTATATTATGGTGTTGTAGTCAACGCTATAATACATTCAATACCTATCATGAATACAAACTGACAGAATTCTTAAGCTTTCTTTTAATTTACGTCAATTAATATTTTTAATATTCTTCAGCAACAATACCACACAGCTCATTCTTGTCCCAGAATATTCTATCCAGAGCAGGTAAACTTCTTACCTAGTACTTACCAAAATTCAATTCAATAGTACTTACCAAATTCAATTTAAGAAATGCTTTTTAATATAACACCACCCTTTTTTTATTTTTGAGAAATCACTTACTTGGGTTTGGAAAGCACCTTTTCCAAGTTAAACTCCTTCAGATATCTTATTATGGCAGCCAAAGAGCAAATCACAGGCTTTTCCAAGTTAATGATGCCAGAAAAACTTTGAGAACCTAAAAAAAACAGAATATACACCTTCATTAAAGTTATTATTCCTTATTAAAAACAAACATTAAGTTAAATAAAATTTAGTTTATGATTTTTGAAATAATAATTTAGACCGTTATCTCCCAAAATTGCCCTTTGGAAAAATACAGAAGTTTACAAATACTTAGGGTACGAAAAAAAGGGCATTTTCTGATGGTGGATGACACTTTTTTGGAGAGCAACAGAGCAACTATTTTCAAAGTGTAAAATGCTCACCCCCTTTGACCCAGAAATACTCCAAAATGCTTGTTAAAGATGTGTATACCAGAAAGTGAGTTGAAAAATCTTTTCTAGTAGTTTCTGCTTTATAACAAAGTCAATCAGCTATACATATACATATATCCCCATATCTCTTCCCTCTTAAAAAATTAGACACAACCTAATTGAACATCAATAAGGTATTACTTAAATAAATTTCAGTACATCCAGATTATTATGCACCTACTAATGGGAATGACTTTCCCAGCAGCTTTCCATCTGGTCTCCCACCTTTATCCCTGTGCCCTATAGGGTATTCTTAACAGAGCAGCCAAAGGAACCCTTTTTAAAATGTACGCCACATAACTGGATTACTGTGCTTACAAATCCTCCAACATTTCCCAACTCACTGAGAGAAGCAGCACAAGTTCGTAAAGGGTCTACAAGTCCCTACACAACCTGCCTTCCATCTCCTTTCATCTCTGGGCTCACCTCCTAATATTCTCCCCCTTAATTACTCTGTCCCAGCACCCAGGCTCCTTGATATTCTTTAAACACACCAAGCACTTAAGATACGTTGTACTTACTGTTGTCTCTGCCTGAAACTGTTCCTTCACACGTCCATGTGGTTTTTCCCCCTTAACTCCTTTAATCTTCGTTCAAATCTTTGTTCAACTGCCACATTCTCAGTGTGGCCTTCCCCCACCACTCTACTTAAAAATTCACCTCTTCCCTGCCCTTCTGTATAGTACTCATCACCTTTAAACACTATTTTATTGTACACCTCCCCCTATTAGACTGTAAACTCCAGAAGGGCAGGAATTTTTGCCTGTTTAATTCCTTATAGTACGTAGAATACCTCAAATAGGCATTCAATAAAATTTAGTTCAAAGAATAAATACAAGTTATATTAAACAAATACACAGAAATACGTATGTTTATGTGTAGATCTGTACATCAAAAAATTCTTAAGGATTTGAGGGGAAGGACTTGTACTTTTTTCCTTACACACAACTATGTTTTAACTTTTTTTGCAGTAGGTATTTATAAGCTTTAGAAAAAATTACAAGATATCCTCTACAAATCTGTAATATAAAATATATTACTTTCAACTATAGCTTTTTATAAAACCAAGGTGTAAATGATGAGTTAACAAAACTCTTCCCTTCTACTGAGAATTTCATCTTTTAACTGTCTAGCTCTGTTCCCCAGGAAACCTGACAAAGATGAAGTGCCATTGTGTTATGAGGTAGCATTGCGTATGGTAAAAATGACCTGAAATCAGTAAACTGCAGCATCTGAACTAGGGGAAATTATAAATACCTGACTCCAGAATTTTGGCCTTCCTTGAGTACACTGACTCTTTGAACTTGGCATGTCCTTTGGAGAAATTCCAGCAAGAGATAAGGTTTCCTATAGGGCATGGGGCTTCTAAGCCAGGGCAGATCCTGCATCTCCCTGATGAAAGTCTGCTTTCTTTGCAACTGAGCAGTCACTAGAGGAGGGAGGGGATTTTAAACACCCAGTGACCCTGTGGACTGCTGCAGACTGCTGAGGACTCCTCCCACTAAGAGGAACAGCGTCCTGTCGGCAAACTGGATTTTCTGTCCTATATCCTTCTAAGTGAATCTGATGCCAAGAGTGGCTTATGATAGTTTCCCGACTTAGTCTTGTCTTTAGTTGAACATAAGATGATGATCCCCTGGTGATATCTCGGACTGCCATTATAAGTGGGTTACACTCTCAGACGCCTGATTCAATTTGGCCAAGACACCATGAGATTAAAAGGGATGGGGAAAGAAATGCCAACAAGACACTGATGCCTAAGAGGAAGCTGGGGGAGGCTGGTCTAACAGTGAAAGCTCTGCAGCTTGTGATAGGGAATAAAACTGGATCTTAGCATAAGCTGGACTGGCAGGAATGAGGGGTACAGACCAAATCAAACAGATACTTGGCTGAGAAAATGTGAATTAGACAAACAATGGTAATCCAACATATTAAGACCCTGTCACTAATGTTCTGGTATTTTAATTCTGGCCATCAATTTTTGGAAATGCTAGCCTTCATTAGGAGATTTACATTTTATAAAACTGCAGGAAAATCATGGACTATCTTTTAAAGGAAGCAAAAAGGAAGGTTCTTCAGTAACTAACTTGTTACACTCCAATGAACATGCCAAAAACATCAAGTTACTAAATGGTCATAATTACAAGGAAGCAGCTGCAGTTGTGCTTCTGATGAGTGCAATAACAGTGAACTCTTCCCTCTACTTCCAGTTATTAATCAATAACTATCTAGTTTCCATTAGAGTTTTAGTCAAACTTGCACCTTTATCCAAATCTCAACTCAGTTAAATTTGAGGACACATGGCTAACATGTATAAAATATTTACCTTTACTGTCAACTATGTCTTTTGCATAAAATTCTGTAACCTCTTGGAAAGCGTGGCTGTATTCAAAATACATGTTATCCAACCTTTCTACTCGAATTCTGTCATCCCGCACGCTGAAAGAAAAAAATGTAAAATTAAAAAATTAATTATCCATAATCTTGCACTATCTGTATTTAGGCCTTGACCTGACCAAAATAAATAAGACTCATTCCTTATTCTCTCCCAAGTTGAAAAAAAAGAGACAAAGAGCTAAGGTTTCCCGGTCAAAAGGCTGCATTTCATAAAATATTATTACTTTTACTACTGGTATTTTATATCACCTAGCACACTGTGAGTACTTTATATATATTGTTATTAAGAACTCATTAAAATTAAGACCAGTTACTTTAATAAACACAAAAGGGAGAGAAGTGGAAAAGCTTGCATCAATTGTTTAAATCCACTAGAAACAGAATACATCACTAATTTCTTTGAAGTGGCATCTTTGGTTGGCACTATGCTAATAAGTCCATTTCTTCTACCACAGCCTCCAGTCAAATATAGTAAATTCCCCTTAAGTCAACTCTCACTCTTTCTATAAGTGGTTCCACACTTTTAAAAAATACGCATATATGTGTGTGTGTATATACATAAACGATCATGTAAGTACATAAACAAAATCATCAAATCACCATCCATGCTAGTAGTGCATTGTCTTTTCCATTTTCTCGTTTGCTTGACTCCCCATTCCCCTCCCCTCCCCTCCTCTCCTTTCCTAATCACCTCACTCCCAACCCGTTAACAGCCTAGGAGGAACCCTTCCTCATCTTTTTCATGTTCATATGGTCATACGTAAGTATGTCATATACACCTACTCATACATGCATTGTTTTATAAAAAGGGGATGACTTTATACAAACTTCCCTGCATCTTCTTTTCTTCACTAAATAATAACTCTTGGAAATCCCTCCATATAAAGTGACCTAGCTACAACTCACTCTTTTTAATGGCTGAAGAACATCTGATAGTATGTAAAAGCCGTAATTTATTCCACCATTTCTTTACTATTGGACATTCACTTGATGTTAACATTTTGCCACATGTTGCTTTAGAATATTTTTATCTAAAAAAAAAATTATAGATACAGGTGTATCCTGCACATGACCCTCTTCAGTCATATTCATCTACCATCTTCAGAAGTAAACACTACCTTCAATTTGGTGTATATTAGCACCATGTATGTTTTTATACTGTACAATATATTTTAGCATCTTTACACAATACACTGTACCATTTCATGTTTTAAATTTCATATAAGCAGTACTTTATTACACCTATCCTTCTACAACTTGCTTTTGCACTCAATTGTATTTCTAAGATTTATACATGAAGATGGACGTATTTTTTTAACATCTTTATTGGAGTATAATTGCTTTACAACAGTGTGTTAGTGCCTGCTCTATAACAAAGTGAATCAGCTATATGTATACATATATCCCCATATCCCTTCCCTCTTGCATCTCCCTCCCACCATTCCCTATCCCACCCCTCTAGGTGGTCACAAAGCACCGAGCTGATCTCCCTGCGCTATGCGGCTGCTTCCCACTAGCTATCTACTTTACATTTCGTAGTGTATGTATGTCAATGCCACTCTCTCACTTCGTCCCAGCTAACCCTTCCCCCTCACCATGTCCTCAAGTCCATTCTCTACGTTTGCGTCTTTATTCCTGTCCTGCCCCTAGGTTCTTCAGAACCTTTTTTTTTTTTAGATTCCATATATATGTGTTAGCATACGGTATTTGTTTTTCTCTTTCTGACTTACTTCACTCTGTGTGACAGTGTCTAGGTCCATCCACCTCACTACAAATAGCTCAATTTCGTTTCTTCATATCTGTTTTTAGATTTTCAATTATTTCTTATTTTTGAGTAAATTTTTAAGATTTGCTTTTCAAATTTAATTCACCTGAATTTATTTTGGGGGATGGTGTGAAGGTAGAAATACACTTTTATTTTCCATATGATTCTCAATTAAGGATCAAGCACCATCATAAAACATTCCATCTTTTCCTACTAATTTAGAATGTTGCCTCCACATTTCTATATACGTGTGACCCTGTTTCTGGCTTCTATCCTATTCCACAGATCTTTCTGTCTATCTCTGTATCAGGACCACAGTATTGTAATTACCATGGCTTGGTATCAGTATCTGTGGCAAGGCCCCTACCTTGCTTTGCAAGACTGTCTTGGCTACTCTTGGGCTTTTGAATTTCTTTAGAAATTTTAGATTCATTTTGTCAAGTTTCACAAAAACCTTATTGGGCTTTTGACTGGATTTGCAATGAATTAATTTAGAGAGAAATGATATCTTAACAAATCAAGATATCCTATTGTTAAAGATGGCATAATGTCTCTATTTATTCATGTCTTTTATATCTAACAATAATGTTCTGTAATTTTCTCCATGTTATATATATCTTTGGTTGTGCTCACTCGTAGATATATTATAGATTAATACTACTGTGAAGGGAATCTTTTCTTCTATCACATTGACTAAAAGCTTATCACTGGTGTACATGAATCTAAATTTTTATATGTAGCAACAATGCTAAACACTTTTTTCCTGTATTGTCTATGTATGAATTAGTATCTTCAAGAAGAAAGTTTCTATTTTTCACTTCTTTTTCCTGTTTCACTACACTACTGGCTAAGACCTTCAGGGCTGCGTTGAACAAAGGTAAGGCTAACAGCCATCCTTTGTTTTCTTACTGATACTAATGGGAATGCGTCCAAAGTTTCGACTCTTAAATATGATTTTTACTAATGGGTTTTGGAATAAATGACTTATTAGCCCGAGGTTTGGTAAGTTTCCCAGTTTTTGCAAAAATAAAAAAAATTAGTCATAAAGGATTACTGAATCTTAGCTAATGTTCTTTCTACAGGTATTAAAATAATCATCTTGTTTCCTCTCACTTAATCTGGTAAGATATTATTCATATTTTCTGATGCTGAATGATCTTTGCATTCCTGGAATGTATTATACTTGCCATGATGTTCTGCGTTGCTTAAATAAAGTTATAAATTTGATTTCTTAGTGTTTTTCTTTTCCCCCAGAAAATCTGTGCCAGCATACCTAGCTCCAAAGGCTTTTTCTGTTCTACTGCAAGACTAGACAGGCATAAGTTGCTTCAGGAAGAAATCTAAGAGGGAGGATTTTCTCCCATCTCTAGTGCCCAAGAGGATTTTTCCACCTTAATCCAATGGAGAGAGTATCAGACTAACTATTGCAAATCTCTTATCAATTTTTATCTTCCTGTAGACACCCTCAATACCTGGATTTTTAGAAGCCTACTGCAAAGCTATTTAGTAACTCAAAAAGCAATGAATGACCTTAGGTGAGTTCCACAATGCTTTTGTACAAGTTCCTAGAGTGAACACACGAGGCAGCTGGTAACTCAATTACTGTTCTATTATGTTGTTTGAGAAGCAGGTAAGAATTTAGAAACACATTAATTTTGATAAAAATGGACTTGTCAGTTACCCTTGAGGCTTTCATGGAAGCATTACGAGTGTTAAATTCAACATCCTGCAATCTGTATATAAAATATCCTCATGCAAATATTTTTTTCCACAAACTGATGGGAGTTATATGTGAAATCTCTCATGTTTCCCTAGATTTCTTTATGGTAAAATCAAATCACTGTATCTTTGAAACAAAAGTCTACTTGAAACACCGTACACAGAGAGAGTAATATCCAAACAGAATTTTGTCAAACTAGATTTTAGTAAAATTTCTATATTCAACAGAGAACTGTCAATCTTGGTTTCCTCAAACTGTAGCCTGTGAAATACCTGCATCAGAATCACCTGCAACACACATTAAAAGCACAGATGCCACACCCCAAATGTGTTCCATCTGAATTCAGCAAGAAGCTGGAGGAGAGGGGGTATTTTCATTTTCAACAGGGTTTTCGGTGTTACTCGCAGGCAAACTGCAGACTGAAAACACTCATCTACACGAATACTGGCAGCCATTGTAGGACGAGAGCACGAAGTGGAAATATAAATCTTCTCCAAAGACAGTCTGTGTTTTTAACTGCTCTCTTAGAGGTGAGCCGTAAATATCTTTTCACCAAAAAATTAAGGAAGTCAACGATGGTCCCATAATTGACCTAGGACTTTAAAAATTATTAAAAAAAAACACCTTCCCACCTTCTACAGAGGCTCTTTGTGACCAGAGGCTGAAGGCTTCTGAACAGAAAAGAGGCTGAACAGAGGCCATGCTCCTCCTCCGTGGGCCTGGGGTGGCAACTGCCCTTCTGCACTAATGTCAGCATGTGAGTCTCAGTCACTACATGGGGTATGCAAAGCTGGACTGTTTTAAGATTTCTAACTTTATTTTATTTTTTTAAAGATTTATTTATTATTTATTTATTTTTGGCAGCACTGGGTCTCAGTTGCGGCACGCGGGACCTTCGTTGAGGCATGTGGGATCTTTCGTTGCAGCGTGCGGGCTTCTCTCTAGCTGTGGCAGCGGGTTTTCTCTTCTCTAGTTGTGGCGCACAGGCTCCAGAGCACGTGGCCTCTGTAGTTTGTGGCGCACGGGCTCTCTAGTTGAGGCACACAAGCTCCGTAGTTGCAGCACTCGGGCTCAGTTGCCCTGCAGCGAGTGGGATCTGAGTTCCCTGACCAGGGATCGAACCCATGTCCCGTGCATCGTAAGGTGGATTCTTTAGCACTGGACCACCAGGGAAGTCCCAAGATTTCTAATTTTTAAAAATCCTTTTCATATGTTACATGCCTCTGTGTTGCCAAATATATTGTTTTTGAAAAATTAAGTGGCAATAAAACTCTCAACAAGTGTGGAACCTACACTAAAAAAAGGGGGAACTTTAGACCCAGTAATGTCAACTTGGACATAAAACTGGTGATTGTCTGGTGCTGAGTAGCAAACTACCTACAAAGATTTTGATAATGTTTAATTGTGACCAAATGTCAACTTGCCAATTTATGATCTATGCTGACTTTTGAAACTATAATTTTTATAGATAAAAAGAGCCTTGCTGAAGGCTGACAATCTACTCTAGGAAAACCCAAGGCCTCTTCTGACAGTGTCCTTATTGATAATAACAATACG